ACTGTACTGTAGTTGTTTAACCTGTTTTTGTTCTTCATCGTCATTGCACATCTTCTATGGTTTTGTTTCCTAACTGTTTATACTTTTTGCAGGTTACTTTCGGCCTCACCAAAGAGAAGACTATTTGTTGTCATTTTGTGCATCCTCGAGGTGGTTTTGCTACAATTTAAATGTTAAATTCTGTATGATTGTATTCTGTTTTAAATGCACATTTTGTATTGTTCCTGTAACATACTTGAACGATGTTGTCTACTGCACTTGTATGTTTCGTATATTGTATGTTGCATTGTTGGGAAAGCTGAGACTGTTCATTGTCAAACTATGTTGTAAGGATTGTGCGTAGGAAAAAATAAAGGGACTCACAAGGACTATGAAAATATTCAAAGGCTTTGTGTGTCTATGCTATTTAGCATATCTGTGCAGCTTTTAGTCTTTCTTTGTAGTTGTTTTATTTCTCTTTCTGGTCATTTCCAGTCTCTCCTGATTTGGTCTGAAAGCCAAACATGGCTGTAGCTCTGAGTGTTGTCACAGGGTGGGTAAGGAAGGTAGAACACAAGTGTCAGAACTAAACAGCAAGGCAGGGTCAAAATAAATCTGGAACAAGGGGAGCAGGTAAGGTGAAAGATAAAAGATAACAACAAAATAACAGAACTGACTTGGGGAACTCGGGTAGCAGAACCAGGAGGGCACACGAGGGACACCAAGATGTGTTCCTAACGTGTAGGCCCAAGTGCTGGCTGTATTATTCCAGCATGCCAGGTGATATCATAAATCATGCTCTGCGTGTTTGTGTGTGCTAATTATAGTCATACCCTGCAGCTGTAGTTGACACATCAGAACGTGGGTGTGGCAGTGTATTGTGTTTTATTATTTGGAAGGCTCATGTTTTTTAGGCCGAAGAGTAGTGCAACATCGTAGCCTCAAACCACCCTGTGGTAATTCTGCACCGAGCGTAATGCAATCACATTTGGAAATAGATATATTATTTGAATAGATTGCAATAACTAACAATAACACATTTTTTCCCTATAATGTTTTTGGCCTTTCTCATTCTTCTTTTATTCATTTTCCTGTTACACAATGTACCCCCCTTTGTTTATGTGTTGCTACATTTACAGTGTATTCGAACAACGTTTTAGGTTTATGGTCAACTTAAAGCTGCACTTGACTAACAATGGATTCAATAACTGCATTTAAAGGGAGACATGTCTCATAACAATGAACTTGAAGGGAATGATCAGTAACTGCATTTCTTCTTAGTTTTGTGAGGCCTTGGTGTGTCTTGTCTTGTATAGTCCACAACTGCCCTGCTTCTTTGCCTCTATCTGTACCTGATGTGTGTCTCAGGGATTTTGTGAACACCAAAGCAGAGCTAAAAGCAGATTGAATCTTAGAAGTTGTAGGAGCCATTTAACTGAGTTTATGATATAAGTTTTGTTTTAATTGTTTAATATGTCTTATTTTATTAGTATACATATTCTACAAATATTATTTGTTGAATATTTATCTACTCACTTTAGTTGCTTACGCCCCTGAATATATTTGATGACACCCCTTGGTCTCCTATTTGCTATATTATGTGTGTTTATGGGGAAGGGGTTGGTGTTAGACGGGGGAAGCTAAACCAGTACAACCACACACACCAGACACACTGAGAAGGAGAGATGCTGAAATGGAAAATAAATGGATTCATCTTGACAAATGGATCATCGATCTGGATTATTTGTGCGTTAAAATCACACCCCCGTATGTTGGAAGCAGCATTTTGCCTACACATTAAAAACAGTAACTTGAAAAACATAAATGCATCATCTTGGTGAGCATATCTGTGACACTAGCTACACTTGTAAAAGTCAATTGTAATGTTCTTTTCCCCTGTGCATGAGTCCACACAATGCACTCACAGTTAGACATGAGTCACTGATAAGGCGATCAACAGCGCCCCCTACTGTGCCCTGTCACTATATCAAAATATGTTGGAGCTATAGCCAATTGAAGCGCGAGCGTTACATATTTGATGTCACTAAGTCACAATTGGTGTAATGTTCTTCTTTGAATACACACATATGACAGTTAATGCCAGAATGTCACTACATTATGTGGTTTGAGACAACACTGATTGTAAATGTACACACAATGTTTTATTCATGAACACTGACTGTGCTACAGAGGTCTACTTTATGGTCATTGGAGATTAAAAGGTCTTCATACTTCTTACCTCCACCTGTTATTTATGCAATTGGAGGTGGACATGTAACAAGGTTGGCAATCTTTCTGAGTTCCCCTCTATTGCCAATTCTCTTTTTATAAAATACAATAAGCTGGTGGACTTCTCTCTAACTGTCTATTTCCTTCACTAGATGGCAGCAGCATAAAGACATCAGCAGTGGCTTTACTGAGCAGTCAGGGTTTTCAATGTGCCAACAGTCACTTTATAAACATTCATTCTATCTCATAGCAGCCGGTGGACTCTGATGGCTGGGGCCATGGTGATGAATCCATGCACAGAAGTAATCGGTCCAACAGTCAGTGTGTTGTGTTTGTAGAGGTGATTCATTGGTCAGTGACACAAACCCAGCTGCAGGACTTCAAACACTGTGCCTGTGTGCCAGCTCAATAAACAGGACACCTGCCAAATAGTGAGAGTGTATTAACCTCTGAGAATTCAACTAATTACGAACAAAGAAGACGCATATAATAACTATATCAAAACATCCTTTTCTAACTCTCGCAGAGTATTCCAACAAGTTTAGGAAACGTTTTGTGACACAAAATTCATCAATTTGAAGCAGAGTATATTCGCACAACCTCTAACATTCCTACAGAGCATCTTTGGGTTTTAAAAAATAAAACTGTCCACCAGTTAAATTGAATGAATTATTGTTACAAAAACTCCAACACATTTTTTATATAACATGACAAAAGAAATTAAGTAGCCAGAGGTGTGTATGTTTTAAAAAAAGTCTGCTCACATTTGCCTTTGTTTTAAACAGGCTTGGGGAGTAACAGATAACATTGAATGGGATTACTAAATCAGGAAACAAAACAAAGGTAACTATTAGATTCAAGATTTTTCAAGAATCAAAGGTTTATAGTCAGCAGTGGGAAGTAACTAAGTACATTTACTCAAGTACTGTACTTAGGTACAATTTTGCGATACTTGTACTTTACTCCAATGTATGCTACTTTGTAGCCTACTTCTCCTCCAACACAGTTCAGAGGTAAATCGTGTACTTTTCCTCCACTACATGTATTTAATACCTTTAGTTACTTCACAGATGTGGATGAATGATGTGAAATATAATCAAGTGTTAAATCAGACTTTAGTTCCACTTGCAGTAAATCCACAAGCTACCCTGCAGTATACAAAGTCATTCAAACTAGCTGCACCTTTACCAGCTCTGAGAACACTTTCATGATCAATCATTATAAAACACATCATATATATTATTCTGAAATGGACCAATCTGCACAACGACTACTTTTACTGTCGCTACTTTAACTATATTTTGATGCTAATACCTTGAACTTGAGTTACATTTTGAGTGCAGGACTTTTGTAACAGAACTCATAAACTCTGTAGGCTACTTCTACTTTTACTTAAGTAGCCGATTTGAGTACTTTTCCCACCTCTGGTAATCAGGCCCGCCTTAACCTGCCATCAGGCCCTGGGGCTGATAGGTTTTGTAGGCCCCCTATTTAAACAACAAATCAAAGTCATTTATAGCCTCGGCAGGCTCTGTGATCGCACTTCTCCACTCTGCTCTACGCGCGCCTGGTCCTCTCCTCCAGATGAGTGACGTATCGGGCCTGCCTCATGTATTTGTCCAGTTGCCGTTGGCTCCCCTCCACGTAGCAAGTCCTCATTGTCCTCTCCATCTCCTCCAACAGATAATGTCCCTCCTGTCTGTTTTTCCTCTCCCGCTACTCCATCGCTATCAGAACCAGACGGCCTACTTGGTTCCGAGGCCCCGCGGCCGGCACCGCTACTGCTCGGTACAGAACTCATCTGTCCTTCCTCCTCATCCTGGCTTACAGGTTTAAAATAACCTGTAAGCTTCGGCATTTTTTGTAATAGCTGCTTGTCTCGAAACTCCTTTTCCCTCAACAATTTCCTTTCCCGAGCGCCACTCTCAAACTTTTTCTTCTCAAACTTTTTCTCCTAAACAACCTTCATCTGTCACTCAATCACTCGCAATTTGAACAAGTCACATGTGAAACATATTCTCATTCTGATTGGCTGTTAAGTGGTGCCCACTGAGTGTTTCGGAGTCATCATGTTTGAGAAAAATCTCTGGAATCCATAGATCTGATTGATTAGCGGAGCCAATGATCAAAATACTACGGAGGGAAGATATTTTCGTTTGGATTACTGGTCTGGGGGAAGCTCACGAGTGTGTGTGTTTGTGTATTTTTGCGTTTGTGTGTATTATGTTTGTTTCCCGGGGAAAACACTCACGAGAAACACCGGCTGTTGTTGTGCCTGCTGTGACGTCAAGTTACTCCGTTCTCCGCTTGTAATTATGCCGTTACAAGCTTCAACGTTGTATTTATCATCTGAATTTGCCGAAACAAGTTTAATATTCTGAAAGCCAAGACTTTGTTTATTTGAAACCAGATGAAAACAAACTGTAACGGACCCTGCCGTGTTATCTATGATTACTATACGCCACATTCATAATGTCAGCCGGAGGGAGGGGGAGTGAATGGCGAGTGAGAGCTGTCATCTTCCCTTTACAAGCTTCAAAAATGTATTTATCGTGTGATTTTGGAAATAAAAGTTTCATATTCTGAAAGCCAAGACTTTGTTTATTTAAATGTTTTTTTAAAACATCCGAAATAAAAAAACGTTTTTTATTGGCTCATGATAGGCCCCTGATCTCCGTAGGCCCCTGGGCTTCAGCCCAGGTCAGCCCGTGCATTAAGGCGGCCCTGTTGGTAATCATGTTACTTGACTTTAATAATGTGATACTTACATTAGGGTTAATAACCTAATGTAAGTATGACATTATGAAAGTGTAATCAGTAACCTTGTACTGATTACATTTGATTGTCATTATAACAGAATACATGTTAAAGTAAACCTGCCAGCCCTGGTTTTTATAATATATTCCGGGTTGATCTACCTGCAGGTGAATCTGTGCAGCTCACTCTCTCGGAGCTCTGAACGCGCCTCTGCGATTCTCTGCGGGACAGTGACTTTGCCCGGGACGTGAACACATCATGATGGATTCATGACTGCGCCGCTCACTGAACTAAAGATCCGATTAATATCTCTACTTCTCAGGATGACTTTGTTCCTGCTGTTGATGTTGGTGACTGTAGAAAGTAGTCGGTCGGAGGTTTACACCAACCACTGGGCAGTGAGGGTCTCCGGGGGGCCGCAGCAGGCGGACAGAGTGGCAGCGAAATACGGATACATCAACTTCGGACAGGTAACGACTTTATTTCTGTTGATCGGTTATTACTGACGAATGTTGACTTTGTCCGTAAAGTAACAAGTTATGATCATTGTATTAAACAAATGTAAACGTAGGCTACATTTGAATAGGCCTAATGAAAAATGCGTTGATGATCAAAATCAGCTCAGAATGTTGCTTTTATGTTAGACACGATTTGGGAACTTACTTTTTAGCCTAAGTAAATGATCCCACAGGATCGTCATTACGTGGATATTCTGTTAATCCACTATTCTATTACTTTAACACATGAAACATTTAAGGATAACCTGTTAGGTAGTGAGGTATGCTAAATGTTTAAATATATGTTGTGTACAGTTTAAAGAGAGAAGCCGACAACATATTTGAATTTAAGTGCGTTGCGTTAACTCCATTAGTGATTCGGGGCTGTAATAACACTTCCCAAATAATTGCTTTTCGGTTTTCAGGTTGAGAAATATATTGGTTCTCCTCCTTCAGAAGAGTTGATCCTTAAGATACTGTATGCCAGGTACCTAGATAAGGTAAAAGGTTGCATGTGGTAAAACCTTTCAGAAGGACTTGAGGTGAAGTTTGTTTATAGTCTGCTTTTTGTTCATTGACTTGATCAAGATCAAGGAGGTGGAAACATTGAATCATTAGATTTGAGAAGCTTCTACTCTTTTTCTTTTTTTTTGCCCGGTAACTGGAGGAATAAATCAAGTGCTTTACTCATTATTATTGATCCATAAACCTTAGGTAAACTTGTCCTCATCAGAAAGTGACTCTGTGGAGGAGAATAACAGGAGACTAGTGTTTGAAGGAGGTATGGGAGAGGGTGGAAACAGTCTGAAGAATATCACTGCATGTGTGCCAGCTGTGCACATGTGCTAAAAATCCTGCTCACATTTTTGGTGCAAAGAGAGAACATGTGTTGTCCTTTAGCGTTATTGTTTATATGCAGATGGCTTGAATGTGTTTTGATTGGAACATTGTAGCATCAGGTTTAAATCTAAAACAGTTATACCATGAGTGGAGAAGCGATTTAGGTATCAGAACTTTAGATGGATCATTTATAGCCAACTTTTATTTTCTATGTTTTGTTGCATCGTCTTGATGTTGATGTTGTGTTTGGCAGATAGGAAGTCTGGAAGATCATTACCATTTCCACCACAGCAGAGTGGTTCGCAGGGCTGCGTTCTCTCTGAAGGGCCCCCACAGCTTCATCCATATGGACCCCGAGGTGAGGCTCTGATCACTTTCTTTCTAATTAAATCCAAAAATAGTTTTCCCATCTTCCCAGCAGACGTGCAAAACCTGCACATAGTTTACAGTACTACACTGGCAGCAGGTCACAATTCTCTATTTTTCCATTTCATAGGTTTAAAAAGTTGTGGGAAAATATACCTCATGTGATTTAAAAAGATTGATTGTGTTTCTTTTCTACGTAAGTGATAAATATATTTTGTATTAAGTGCAGTTATGTACCAAACAATCAAATAAAAAGTAGATTCTTATGCTTCTCATGGACCGAGTCAATGCAGCTTTATTCATCTGCTAAATAAATAGTCAAACACAATAATATAATAGTTATACGCACCATAATAAACAAAGTGGAAGATTAATCTGACTTAAAGCATTAGCTAGTTGTTTAAATGTGTGTTAGAAACAGTGACAATATCGCTATTGTGAATAATTTGGGCCCTGATAATCATCTAGTGAAAATAAAATATATCAACAGCTATGTTGATATGTAATTCTATATGTATGTTTCTATAGAAAAAAGCAAGCCTTTTTTCCCCCTTGCAACTGATGTTTGGTTCAATTTCGATCCTTAGGTGGACTGGGCTCAGCAGCAGGTAGTGAAGCCAAGAGTAAAGAGGTTTGCTCAGAGCGACCCAAGCTTCATTCATTTCAATGACCCTAAGTGGTCCAACATGTGGTACATTGTAAGTACAGTGCACTGAATCAATCATCCTGCCATTTCCAGTTTAAAAATACAACATAACAAGTGTGCTGCTTGTCGTCGTCGTTGTGTCTTTCCAGCATTGCAGCGATAAGAACAACCAGTGTCGCTCAGAGATGAACATCCAGGCAGCCTGGCAGAGGGGCTACACCGGCAAGAATGTGGTGGTCACCATACTGGATGACGGCATTGAGTGGAGCCACCCTGATCTGGCTCAGAACTATGTATGTGCTATCCATCCTTCTCCAGATATTGATACAGTTCAAAAACATAACTCAAAAAGCACACAACTAGAACAGACAAAGGAGTTTCAGAAATGCCTTTACGTAGAATTTCTTCTTTTTCTTTTTTCTCTAGGACCATCTAGCAAGTTATGACGTCAATGGGAATGACCATGACCCTACACCACGTTATGACTTCCGCAATGCAAACGTGTAATGTCTCCATCTTGTCTTATTCAACGTAGATCTGTTGTGCACTTTCCCCCTCTATGTCCTTTGATCATGTAACTATTGTTCTAATATAGGACCAAGTGACAATACATAGGAGTAGTTGGTGATTGATTCCAGATTCATTTTCAAGAAAATCAGTACGTAAGTGTTGTTGAAACTAAGTGTTGTTGGACCATCCAAACAGCATGTGGAAGCCCTTTTCTAGACAGCAGAATCAGGCAACACTTACATGACCACTTGATAGAGCTGGGCTACATGTACAAAGACTCCTTTTGGTCGCTCAGTCCTTCAGCGGCCTGGTTCCAATATGAACCCCAGTGCTTTGTTGCATGTAGTTCTTCTTCCCCTTTCCTGTCTATCTTCTGTTTAAGTATAATAAAAAAGCCAAAAGCATAATCTTTAAAAATAAAATGTGTTGGGTCTTTTTCCAATTTATGATAGGAAGGCCCACCTGAAATATCAACAGTAAATGTCAGGTTTTGATATCATACCAAAGGAATCATAGGCTGGCAACTTTCAACTAGACTTATGATTTGGCAACAATGATCCATCACAATAGAAGCAACAGTATTCTCCATAGTGTCTTCTCTAGGCTACTTTCACTGTAAGGTTATTTTATTTCAGATATGCCTCTTGAACTGTTCGCACGAGTCTACAATTGAAGCAGATAACAGCTTTGGGTCAGGCTGTAATTATGCTCTGTTTCCATGCAGACATGGAACTCGGTGTGCAGGTGAAGTTGCAGCAGCTGCCAACAACTCCCATTGTATCGTTGGGATCGCCTATAATGCTCGCATTGGAGGTAGAGTTCTCTGTTCTTTCCTCAACACTTCAGCCACACTCGCAGTTTAGTCTGCTGATCCACCATTTTGTTCCAGACTATCTTATTACTATTTGATGAATAGCCAATAATTATGGTGTAGATGTTTATCGTCCCCACAGGATTGACCCCAATGTCCATCATCAGTCTAATGTGTTGGATGGTGTGAACACAGACAAAGGATTCACCAACATAACTTAAAACGGCTTAGGTAGAAAGACAGTCTTTTCTTCAGAGTTTGGTAAACAGGAGACCAGTAAGGAAAGGCAACTAAAACAGCAGTGAGTGAGCCAAAGCAGGGTCACTTAACAATATGTATAACTGCTGGAACGCTAGACACAAAGGTACTAAGAAGAACTGGCAACGAGCGGAATAGGCACTCAAAGTAAATCTACTATAAAAGAGAACGGGTAATGAGAAACAGGTTAAATGAATTAGGATGAGGGTGAATGATCATCCAGACAGAGAATACTCAAGGGCAGGAAAACAGAACATTGTCTGTTGAGTGTGTCTAAAGTTTTAGTATTGATATTACCTTGGATACAGGGATTCGGATGCTGGATGGTGATGTGACCGATTTAGTCGAAGCCAAGTCCCTGGGAGTGCGACCTGACTACATCGACATCTACAGTGCTAGCTGGGGGCCAAAAGACGATGGCAAGACAGTGGATGGCCCAGGGCAGCTAACTAAGCAGGCTTTTGAGCAAGGCATCAAGAAGGTTTGAAAAAGACCGAACTTCTGAGCAGACTTATGCACGTATAATTGTGTAGAATTACATCGCTACATCACTATCTGTCCCACAGGGTCGCAAAGGCTTGGGGTCCATTTTTGTCTGGGCGTCAGGTAACGGGGGCCAGCAGGGAGACCACTGTTCATGTGACGGTTACACCAGCAGTATCTACACCATCTCCATCTCTAGCGCCACAGAGAACGGAAACAAGCCCTGGTACCTGGAGGCCTGCAGCTCCATCCTGGCGACCACTTACAGCAGTGGAGAGTTTAACGAGAGGAAGATTGTGAGTACTGCATACAATGTTCCTTAATCAATGAGACATACATGATCTAATATGTGTGATTCCTATTAACTGATGGTCACCCACAAATCGCCTGCACTGTTTAGATAACTGTACTCAAACAAACACCAACAGTTAGCTACAAGCTGGTGGACGTACAGGACTGTAGCCGCTAAAGAGACAGTATGCTACGTTGTTAGCATGTAGTAAATAAGCTAAATCCCTGATGCTGTGAGTCATGTTTGTGCTCAGGTTGTGGTTATCTGACTGCAAATGTTCATCCTCTATGGTAGCTTGCTGTAAAGTGATCATCAAATGAAAAGTAGGGACCCTTTCTCACAGTTTTTAATTCAGTATGTCATTTTTAAGAGAACCATTCTCCTGTTCACAGCTATGAGGTGAGGCTTGAAAACAGTGTACAAAGGTTGTTGTAAGGTGTAATTTGCAAGCATGTGTGAGTGGGTACTACTGTGTTTGTGTGTGTGTGTGTGTGTGTGTGTGTGTGTGTGTGTGTGTGTGTGTGTGTGTGTGTGTGTGTGTGTGTGTGTGTGTGTGTGTGTGTGTGTGTGTGTGTGTGGGAGAAGACCAAAGATCAACAGAGGTTGTGTTGGCTAGAGTAAATACAAATTAGAGAAAGATGGACCCTGTGAAGTGATACAAATGTATGCTATTGCTAACACATATGTATTAATCAACCCAGTCTCACGGCATTTCGTGTTATAGTCACGACATTTAATCTATTGATTCGTGTTCACCAACACGATTTTCCCCTTTTTTTCGTGTCACACAGAACGATTTTAAAAGCAATGTATTTCTATTGGTAGTATGTTTCGTGCCTGTACCACGTCTTTTTGTCCGGTCGGGTCGTGGAAGACCGGAAGCTGTGTGGTTCATAAAAACATGTTCTTACTCAATATCAAGCCACAATTATTGTTTTTATTTTAAATCGTATAATGTCGGACTTTTTTTGTCGTCTGTGAGGAAAATAAATGGGGCTCAGAGCCTCAGAATACTGAAATCTGTATTTTTTTCCTTCTAATTTGTTTGTGTTAATGCGATATTAAATCCGAAAAACTTTTTAAAAAAAAGAAAATAATACTTTATTCCGAGTGTTCTTGCTGTTCTCTTTGGAAGTCATCACATAACGGCATTGTAATACACGGTTCGGCTGCATTACATATTACAGATCTGCCGTAGTTCTTTATTTATAGAGCCCTGATGAGAAGACCTTTGGAAAAACTGGAAGAAATGCCGCCGAAACTGAATACTTGACGTGGATCATAAATATATCAACAATTAAACAACATCTTCAATTTCTCTTCACACAATACGTCTCCTTGCAGTATCAACACTAATTCGGCTGACTTTTACATTTGATCTAATTCACAGATAGGTTATATTTACACCATAACGGTGCACAGCTGATATAAAAGGACTTGTCGTTTTTAAAGATATTACTGATTTTCTTTGAATATAAGAATGTAAATACTGAGTCTGAAATAGTATAGCAATATGCTGTAAAATTATGTGAAAACATGAATAAAACGACACATCTTCAGATGTTGTACATACATAAGTGTCCTACACTAATAATACAAAGTTATTATGGCTGTGTGTACCTTGTGAGCTGATCAGATTTTGGCCACTTTATGATGTCATAACGATTTTTTGGCTAGTGGTTAAAGCACGTTATTGAATTATTGTTTTTATGTGTTATATTTGATGAAACAAATATTAAGAGTACATATTTTCATAGGAGGAAAGTAGAAGGTCAATGATAGAAATATAGAGTATAAAAAATCAAGAAGATACTATAAGTGATCTCTACAATAAAACAGTTTAGTGCAGAATGTACACAGATATTAATAGGAGGATGTGCAAAACAGAAAAACGAATTAACCTTTATTTAAACATTAAAGAATACTTTAGGTTAAGGTATTCTTTTAAATAAGAACAAAGCGTTGGGGGTATCTATCTACAGATAAATATTAAGCCTGACAAAGTACTTAACGTCTAAATATTGCTTTCCTGCAATGTTAACTATGTTGAAGCACTTATTTTAACTGATATTATACACATTAATTATACTCTTATGTATGTAGATGGTATAAGAAATGTGCAGAATATGACAGTTTAATGGTGGAGGTATACACATATTGATAGATGTCTTGTAATGCACTGTTGAGGAACCTGTTACCCAAGTTTTTCATTCATTGCATAACTACACCATAGTTGTGTATATGATAATAAATCTTAAATCTTGAAAGGGATGTGCAAAATAGCCATAATATACAGTCTTTAATTAACTATTAGTAGAGAATAACGAGTAATGAATATACTTTATTACTCGTTTCCATTCATGTCAATTGCAGATACATGTTTAGTCTTCTCAAGCACCAACTATCAAATATCTCTCCTGATTGTTGGCACTTGACAATCACCTTACCTGCATTTTACTCAGGTGTAACTAAAGTCTGATTTAAGGGTTGTTTATATTTCACATCATTAATCAGAATCTGCAAAGTAACTCAAATAAATGTAGTAGAGTAAAAATACTACAATTGTAGTGGAGTAGAATTACAAAGTAACAATGAGCTGTCATGTGGGTATATATTAATGCTGCGCATTATGGACACAAGCGATTTTCACCCATTTATTAATTATATGTTTTACATTTGATAACACCAATGTGTAACCCTTGTGTTATGTTCACATTTCACACCCTTTGGTAATGTTCGGGTCAAATTGACCCGGGACATATTTCAGGGTTTAAAACAAATACAGAACTAAATTCAACATGCACAATTCCTTATATATATTGTCTTTAACTCATTCCCCAACAATATAAATGAAATATATGATTAGTTTTTGAAAATACTCTTTGCTAGATCAAATGTAACAATGGAAGTGTCCATCGTTTTTTGTGATAAAAATGTAATTTATGTTAAAAAAAAATACACTGTAATAAAAACTAAGTTTACATTTTGCTCATGCTTTTCTAGGACAAATGCAAAATGAAACATTTTTTCATTAATGTTTAATCTGTCATATAATAATCAAAGCCCTGAAGGAAATAAAGCAATTTATCAGCAATTGGAACACAAGAACCACACAGCCAAAAGTATTTGGCTGTGAAATAGAGAGAATGAAACATCCATATAAATGACATAGAACAGATATAAACACAAAGCAAATAAAAACAATTAACAGTCACTTATCATAAAATACAGTATATCCGAAAAATATATTGATGAAGTGACGCTGCAGAACATCATGTGAGTCAATGGGCAAGTCCGTTTAGGAAACACATGATGTACAGAACTTCTTCGTGTGTATAGCACAGATGTACTTGTTGCAGTTGTCAGGGCTGAGTGAGGCAAGCAGGACCCAAATGCAGATGAACAGAAAAAAATACCTTTATTTCAAGGCTACTGAAACAAACTTGGACAAAACTACTCTCACCCCGTGAACAACGTCCAAATACGACAAGGAACTCACAAAGACTAACAGAAAACACAGAACCTAAATACACACAGGACTAATCAAACAAACAAGAGACAGGTGAGGAGGGAGGAGAAAACACAGGGGCACCAGGTGAACACAATCGGGTAATCAGGGATGGAAAACAGACAGAAAGCAACAGGCAGGAACGGGGGGTGAACACTTTACAAAATAAAACAGGAAACCAAAGACAGAAAAAGAGAAGACAAAACACAACACGGACAGATCGTGACAGCAGTTGCTGCATGTAGTCTGTGTCTTTGAGTCCTTTGAGGGTCCACAGACCTCACAGCTGGCTGTGGGGGTCTTCCAGATGCTGATTGTGGGGGTCTTCTTGCGGCTGGCTGTGAGTCAAGTTCATCTTCCAATTTGCTGTCAAATTCTGAGTTTACCTCCACATTATCCTCATCTTCAGAAATGTCTTCCTGTTCCACTTCACCGTGTTCTTCTAATGCATTCCACTCACTCTCATCCATTATTAGCTCCAAGGCTCTGAGCAGAATATCTTTTGGCCATTTTGTTGGTAGATAATTGTAGTTCTGCACTACACTGTTACTACACTGAGGTTATGTCTCTGTTTAGTCCCTCCTCCGGCGTGCAGGTGCGAGGGGGGACAGTGCGAGAAAATGTAAAATATTTATACATTTCTGGAAGATCTAAAAATGTTTATAATGTTCTAGGATAGTTTTGTGTACACACTACAAAGGGTAAAGATCAAGGGAAAACAGGATCAAACAGCTTCTCTATGCATACAATTGTGTGTGTGTGTGTGTGTGTGTGTGTGTGTGTGTGTGTGTGTGTGTGTGTGTGTGTGTGTGTGTGTGTGTGTGTGTGTGTGTGTGTGTGTGTGTGTGTGTGTGTGTCTTTAGTTTGTGTGTTTCTGTGTGTTTTTCTCTGTCTGTCTGTCCTGGTATTGTATTCGGGTCAGATTGACCCGAACCTCTTATGAAGGACATAAATGCGGGTGGGCATTTTTTCATAAATGGAAAAAAATAAAAACAATTTCACATGTCCTTCACAATAAATAAGCCCGGCCATTGAGTTTCAGGTTGAACGAAAATATCCTTATATTTGTTTTTATTCATTGAAAATGGAAATCGGGTCAATTTGACCCGAACACCACACAAGGGTTTTAATACTGGCAACTTCTAATTGTGGGGAAAACGAAAACGTTCAGTAGAGACGTCCCATAGAACATTTTGCGAAACACATGTGTAGCCAGCATGTGTAGTTCTGGGGGGCGTTCGATTCCAGTTTTGGATAGTCTGGCGTGGTTTCGTTCCATTTCAAACAGCTGTTTGACACTCGGCGTAACCTTGGCGCACTGCCACTCCAACATCCAATCCCAGAGCTTGAAGATTAATCACGGGAGAGTTGGGTGTAACGCGTTACTTTGTAACGCATTACTGTAATAATATTACTTTTGTCGGTAGTAGTGTAACCAGGGTTGGGAGGGCTACTTTGTAAATGTAATCAGTTACTGATTACTGATTACATGGCTC